AACAGAAACACTCCTTCTCATTTCCCTCTCATTTGGAATGGGGAATCTAGCTTTAGTGTTGACATGATGATGCATATATTCCTCACTCGTCCCCTCATTTAGCACAACTTTAGGCCTTGGAACGTATGCATCTTCTCTCTGTAATGGGAACATATACATAAAGTCATAGTACTTAGACAAAAGGTAACACCTTAAATACATAATCCACATAATTGACAAAAGTACTTCGTAAATAGCCCATAAACATTTCAAGTGTCCAAACCAAACAAAAAGTATGAGCATTTTCTAACAAAAAAGAATGTCATAATTTCAAAATAAATCCTTAAGGTATCATGTCAAAATGAAAATAATAAAGTCTTAGGATCATGGCAAATAAAAATAACATAACATGTGATCAAAGAGTATAAAAGAGCCTTCATGGCTCACTCCATTAGCGCCTTTCCTTGCTTCCTACTAGATTTATCACCTGAAAATGTTAATGGAAGGAATGAGATCTAACATCTTGGTAACAACAAAAATTCCTAACATATACAATTTAAAATATATGATATTGAAACTCAGTTTATAAATATTGATTCGTATAAATATTAAGTACTTAGACTGTAAAAAATATGTTCATTATTAAGTCAATATGATAATCAATCCGTATTCATTTACAACAGGCATTTCACAATAATAAATGCATTATGTAGCCTCCCTTATATCACTATCCATTCTTATTTCGCTGACTAAAGCTACAGGCTAACACATAATTCAATTAAAACTAATCTATTTTATTGAATTTATCCCAATCTCACTAATACTTGGCATATACCCAGCCAAAGTTATAGAGTTCAAGCTCGAACTTTGGCTCCCCTTCTTGGAAAAACCAAAACTAAGAAGGTGTCATATGTCCCCCAACTTCAATGCAATCCCGGCCAAAGAAAAACATGGACGAAGGGGTCCTAACAAGTGCCATCCATTGTGCATCGACTACTTTAAAATATTTTTATGGTGCATCTAGCACTTGAAATTAGTTTTTTTAGGTGTGTCCAACATCATAAATTATATTTTAGTATATCCAATACTCTGAAATATTTTTTAGGTGCATCGAACATCTTATAAACTATTTTTTTACGCATCTAACACCCTATATTGCTATGTATAAAATTATGCCAAAAATACTTTTGGATAGTAAACCCATCTGAAGAAACACTTCATAATGCTAGATGCACCATAAACACTTTAAGTATTGAAAAAAATATTTCAGGATGCAGAAAACACATGTACCCTATTTTTATTCCTTATTTTTTAACTTAGTAAACATTAATTTGCAAATGAAATTTATCATTTTACTAGAAGGACATATAACAAATTTATTATTTGGATCAAATCACAAAGCCCTTGCTTTGATGGAGAAAAATAATGAAGGAAAGAAAACTAAAGAGAAAATTGAGAAGGGAAGTAGGGTTTTCCCATTTGTATAGGATAGAAAAAGTGAGACTAAATAAGAGTTGGAGAAAAAGCTCATTTTTCATTCTTTCATTTTGATATTATATTTTTAGCATTTATTAATAATGTTGAAAAATGTATAGTTATTTCATTTTATTATGCCTAATTTTTTAAAAAAAATTCAATTCTTATGTTTTTCATTTGAAAATTAAAATTTTTTTACCTTCAAAATAATATGTTTCTCTAAAGTGCTATTTCCAGTTCTTAATATAAGAGCTATTTGACTAATTTGAGTAGATTAAGAAAGTTTGTTAAATCAGTTATTTGTAATAGATATATGTTGTCTTTCCTAAAATACCTTTGCTAATAATGTATATTAGTTAGAATTGTCATTCGATGGAACCTTTAACATGTGCAACTATTATAAGTATTACTTTAAAAAAAATAGATAAATATGAGAGACAAAATAGACTAAGGTCTTATATTTAGGATCAAATTAAAAGTCAAACTAACTCTTATATTAAGAACCGCAGATAGTATATGATTTTAGAGTATAGTAACATGAAAATAAATCTATCAAATTATTTGATTTTAGATAATTTAATGACATTATTGCGAATATGATTTTTTTAATTGATGTACCTAATTTGATTTTAAACATGATATATTTTTACATAAAAATGCATTTTAGTTATTCACATATTTGCTCATTTTTTCCTCTATGTTTTCTCTTGTTCATTCAAACAAAAACGGTGATTACATTTTTCTTTTCAAATTTTCTCTCCTCTCATTTTTTTTGCCTTCCAACTTTTCTTCCTGTTTAAACAAAGCATAAGGGACCTATAACCCCCTTATTTTAAATTTTCAAAATATTTTATCCTTAAATAAAATTAACTGGATCTTTTAGTTCTTGAATGCTATTTTCCATGCAATTTTGGATAAATTATTATAGTTTCTTGCACAAAGACTAATGAGATATTTTTACTTTTTTCCCCTTTGTTTTATTGCATTTAAATGCAACTAAATAGAGATGTTCATGAGACGGGATGGGATTGTGATAATTCTATCCCGGTCCTATCTCAATCTCGTTCTGATAATCGTGATAGGGTGATCTTTTCATCCTGTATCCTATCTCTTCCTAATGGTGTCTCATCTCATTTGGGATAGGACATGACCGGAATGGGACAAGGACTTCTCACCTATTTTTTAATAAATTTTTTATTTTAAAACCAAGTGTATTTTGAACATAAAAACTCATAGTGAAAATTGAAAAGACCTCTTCTTAATACATAATTATAAAACCATTTTTAAGATGATAACCTTGGTAGAAAAAGAATTGAGTTAGAGCGTTAAAATACTACTATGGTTATAAGGAGTTTGTCTTATTCTGAAAATATTCCAAGAGGCTTAGGATACATAAAGCACCCATGAGTTTAACAACACATAAAACAAGGACTCAGAGCACAATAACCACCCACAAGCCTCAACATAAACATTCATCCCATAAAAACTTAGGGCACAAGAAACACAGGGTACTCAACCCAGCTCACAAGTCATACACATAAGAGTAACACATATAGCAGGGTCTTATGACCTTCAGTCATTCTAACAGCATTTCATCAAATACAGTTGTATCCAAACAAAAGAAAGTATATGTCAACAAAGTCATAGGTCCTAGGATGGCAATATACATAACATTACATGCTCAAACCAAAAGAGAACTACTAGGCTATGCTCGCCTATACCTCTGGTTGCTTCCCTTCGTGCCCAGCCAAACTAGATGGCTCTCCTAAAAAGTATCAATGAATAGCAGGGTGAGACATGAAGTCTCAGTAACCAAGTATTAATTTATGACATGTACAAGTAAGATGGCAAGTTGTTGAAGTAGTGCTTAAATATAATTTAAGTAAAATGATGCTTTAATAAATACAATCCATATGAAAGGAGTATGTCTCACCATCCACAACACAATTCATACAAATGTACACATATGGAACAACACAATAAAATATGCTCTCCCATCACTATACGTCCTTATGACTCCTTGACAAGGACCTGGACTTTCCTGCTGAGTAACCTGACCAAAGGTCACCCCACTCACATCAAGCAGCAAGCCTCTTCTTGTACCTACATTGCCCAAGAATGGACTATGGTGTAAGAGGTGTCAATCCAAGAGTTTATTCTCAATTCCGGGCCAAGAAAAAGGAAGAACTACAGGGGTCTAACAAAAAGGTCAAACACTAGGATCTGTAGTGCATGCATGCCGCACAGACTTCAAGAACAATTATCCTTTACATAGCAAAATCCCATCCTCCACATATAAACCCCATGCATAGTCATAATATAAATTAAAAATATCATAGTTTTTCAAAGTAAGATAATATAATTTCAAACAAAAGTATAACACATTTTCATTTTATTTAATAACATAATATTAGTATATTAAATTCAACATCACAAGAAAACATAATTTCCAATAAAACACAACTTAGGCATAATTAAATCAACAGGCTTCCCACTGCAAAAAAATTTGTCATATAAGAAAACATATACTTTATTCATAGGCATACTTTCACAAATTAATTTGAGAAAATAAAAACATAACAAACACCTTACAATCCAAAGCATGTATATAAAATAAATTAACCCCAGTTACCTCTACTTCAAACTTAACTTCATAGCTTCAAAAATAAAAGCACAAATTATAGACTCCGAAGTACAAGATAATCTACAAATAATATAGATACAATTTAATATACATGCAAATAAATAACTTAAATTACATAGGATTTATTATTATTAATATATATACATATATTTACTACCCAAAAAGTCTTACTTCAAATAACAATTTTTCTCTACCCAAATAACTCATTCAAATTATATATATATATATAAATATTGTTTTTATCTAACATTGTAAACATCTCAATTTATAACTTAAGTTTCCATCTTCAAAATTTTGCTAATAACATATCCTTAACCAATTTCACATTTAAAACTGACTAAAATCCCAATAACATATTGAATAACCCAAATAAGTTATTTAGCTTAAATTTAATCAGTAAAAATATTCTATATGTCTCAAATAATACATTTTTCAAATAAAATCTTAGTTTACAATTTTTAAAACAATCAATGAATAAATATAAACCGATTAAAATTTTAATAATATATCAAACAATCCAAATAAATTATTTAACTTAATTTTAATTAGTGTAAATATGATATATATATATATATAATGATAGATCTTTCAAGAAAATAAATTTAATTTTAAATACCAAAACTAACAAATGGACAAGTCTACACTGATTAAAATTAACTACTCATTTACCTCTAAATTTTTATAGTCATTTATTGTAAAAACTTAATATTTACTCCATATCCAAATCTCAAAATTTTCTCTAAATATTATAATGATACTACCAATATAAAGCTCCAAATATATAGAAAATATTCATAAAAGAAGTACTTTTATATACTTAAATGATCTCCAAATCTTGTCTTATCCTTCAAACTACATGTATCTTGTAAAATTTCTCACTCACTTTGCCTTTTGCTCTCCCTTTTTCTTCTCTTCTCTGCATAATACTCCCTCCTTTTATTATCCTCCCATTCAGCCGTCCCCTTTCATTTTTTCCTTCTTCAATAAATGCCCCATTCCCCAATTTCTTCTTCTTCTTTAAATACGTTCAGCTTTTCCACTAAATTTGGTGGAAAAGCTGAATGTTTTTTTTTAATAATAAAATATTATTATAATAATACAATATTATTTATATTATTTCATTAATTTTGTTTACTTTCTCTCTCTTTTTTTTGAAATAATAATATTTTTTTATTAGAGTAATATTTAGGATGTTACGAAAATCATATAGAAAATAGATATAATATGGCTAAAAATTTTGAGATGAGACTGTGCCATCCCAAAATGATTAGGACCATGGGACATCAGGTAGGGGTGCTTTGGGACAGAATAGCATTGGTGCCGATAATTGGGACGAGATGTCTTTTTGGTTTTGTGCCTTCTCCTGTTTCAATGGCATCCTGGGAAATGAACATCCCGTCTATTTTTTTTTAATTTCAAAACCAAATGTATTTCGAACATGAAAACTCATGGTAAAAATTATATTCAAAAAATAGATAAAAGATGGATAAAAATTGACACTTTTAATAAATAAAAGGACAAAATTTAGGTATCCATGAGATCCAAGTAGCCAATAAAATTCTGCCATGTGGAGTACTTGTATACAACAATACTTAACCTTTTGGCAAACCACCGTTAGCAAAGAAATACTTGGTGCTCTCGAAGTACCAACTCATCTATGCTCTGGCTAGTGAGAATACACCAATTCAAATAATTTAAATTTATGTGTCGGCCTACTATTTTTATTATTTTATTCTTTTAAAAACTAAAAATGATTAGGATATTATTCCTTTCTTCTGCCTCTCTCCATCCCTGCTCTCTTCCTTTGGTTTGCTGCCAATGCAGCGCAACCCAACCTCCATCACTCTGTGAACAATGAGACTTTTTATTTTTTTTTTTGTTCTCAAGTAAATCTCCACTCTTTTTCAAATTAAACAGAAAGGTCCTTGTGTTATGGCCTTCTATCTTTTGATGCTTTTTTCTTTGTTTTTTTAATAACTGTTAGAACTACAAAATCAACCTAGATCCACCAAAAGGGAATGTAAGAAAAATAATTCAGAGGCTAATATCCTACAGGGTGATGGAGGATGCCATATTAGTATAAGAGTAAGAATGTGAAGAAAAAAATAAAGAGCAGTACTTTCTTCTCATATGCCATTGTTAACATCCTAACCACCATCATTAATATTTGAGAAGAAAACAAAGAGTGACGAAGTTATAGGTTTTGACAATGCTTCATTCTCTGGTGCAATTCTATCTATCTACCACAGTCTTCAGCATCTGGAAACAAAATAGGGAGAGACTGAGGACGCACTTTAACAGTGGTTCTTAAACAGAGAGAGTCAATGTATGGAGAAAGTAAGGAAATCTGAGATGGAACGAAGAGAGAAGGCAGAGAGTCTAAAAAAGAGAGAAGAGAAGCAATCAAAGATTAAGGTTGTGTGCAGCGCTTCAACAGTAGTCTGGGAAAGGAAGAGAGAAGGGTTGGAGAGAAAGAAGGAAGGAAGGGTAGTTGAGGAATTTCATAAATGGAAAAATTACACACAGGTCTTAAGGAGTAGAATTTATTCATCCAAGGTCCCTAAAAATGGTTAAATTGTTTCTAAGTCCTTAGGGACTTGAGGGTAAAATATTACAGTTATGAAAACACTATTTTGCCCTCGCAGATTGAAAAAGAAATAAATAAGGGAATGGGGCTCACTTAGCATGTTTTTTACTACTACATGGGAGAGGGAAGATTAACAAAGAAGGAAAGGAGCTCTATAACCATTTTCATCATCTCTATTATTTTAGACAAACTATCTCTTTACTTCATCTTCTTTGTAGGTCTCATCATTAGCAACATTTGGCTTGTTTGAACTTGCAGACTTTAGGTATAATGTTGGTTTGAAAGTTGATTGGTGTGGGTGTGTGAGTATTTAGGATATGATTCAACTCTCTTGAATCATCAAGGGTGGCCTATTTTTAATCATATGTGACCTTAATTATGTTAGGTGTAGTTTCATAATTTGTGGCTAGGGTTATAAAACGATGCTCTATTTTTTATTACATTATACCTATTTCTACTGAAAACGAAAGAATATGAAAAGTTTTTGCTATCCTAACCCCTATTATATAATAGTCAAATGTGTTATTAATGGAAACATCAAAGGTTGTCATTGTAACTAGATGAATTGTCAATGACAAGTGTTTGTGACGAGTTGATATGATAGCAAATTCAAGTGGAAAGCATCTGTTCTGTTACCTCCATATAAGGAAAAAATTTATTAATGGTATAGAAGGTCAAATTCAATATGTTGGAGATGCTGTGAGAACAAAAACAATGAAGGCAGGCATAATATATGAAGAATTTAGAGTAATGATAGCATCAATAGTGAAAAAAGAAAGTAATAAAATGATTATAAAATTCACAATAACATTTGATGAGTATACATTTGTGGATCTTGTAAATGATAAAATAGTAGAACATTTAATTAACTTCAATGGAGAAAGTGATCATGTATATATAGAAAATGGAGATGGAAATTCACATCCAAGAAGGGGTGGTCTAATAGAACAACAACATGTGTAAGTTGTATTTATTTATTTTGATTTTGAAGTAATATTATCCTTTGTCAATTGTTCCATCTAAGTTGTCATTTAAGTAGTCAAAAGTTGTCATTAACAACCCCATGACTTAGCTTGATATGTAGGGTGGAAGACTTATTCAAAGGTACGGATATCTTTTTTATGTTTCTACCCAATGCGTTGAGTGAAGACCCACTGTCATTGTCAGTGAACACTGCCTAACTTGTCAACAGCTTCCCATTAGGTTGTTAATCCACACCGTTGAACTTGTTAATGGCTACCTGTAATAAAAGTCTGCTATAATCCTATTAGCTTTAGCTAAAGTTATTAGTGGCTTTCAACAACTTCCCCTTTTAGCGTTTAAGTTGTTATAAGATACTATTTGGCTATAATTTGATCTTATGTGAAGGTTATGTAATCTTATAAAGTCGGTTGTCAATAGACACTTCCTAACTTCTCAACAAATTCTCATTAGGTTGTTAATACACACCGTTGAGGTTGTCAATCTATCACAAACAGGGGTTATGACAACAAAATCTATTAACCAACGCCGTTAAACTACAAAATATTGTCAAATAATTGCATGGTGGAAACGTCCAGCATATATAATATTTTGTAGTTCGAACAATGATTGCACCTCGATTTAATTATTTGACAATATAGTGACAACTAGTTAATGTATATTGATATCATTGAGTGGTTAAGAAGTTTTTTTGATGCAGTTCATGTGTTTTCTTTAGCATGCAATTCTTCATCAATACCCTTGTGAGTTTTAGAAAATAATGAAGTCAATCACAAGTTTTCAATTAATCTTGAAATTAAAATAATAATGTTTTATTAAATGTTGACATTTTAGATTGATGAATTTAAAATAATAATGAATTCCCTAAGATTTGTAAAATGAAGAGACTAAACGAAGACTTTCAAAAAATAATGAAGTCAATCACAAGTTTTTAATTAATCTTGAAATTAAAATAATAATGATTTTATCAAATTAAAATAATAAATTTTTATTAAATGTTGACATTTTAAATTGATGAATTTAAAATAATAATGAATTCCTTAATATTTGTAAAATGAAGAGACTAAACGAAGACTTTATAAAATTTAAAAAGAATATACAATTAAGATGATATGATATGCATATATCACAATTTTCTTGCTAATGCAACTAACAACATCAACAGCTTGCATTAACAACCTAGTAGGAATTCGTTGACAAGTTAGAAAATATCCATTAATAACTGATTTTATAAGATTACATAACATCTATATAAGATCAAATTATAACCAAATAGAAGCATATACCAACTTAAACGCTAAAATGGGAAGTTGTTGAAAACTACTAATAACTTTAACTAACGCTAATACGATTATAATAGACAGCCATTAACAAGTTCAACAACATGAATTAACAATTCAATGGGAAGACATTGACAGGTTAGGCAGTGTCCGTTGACAACTGACTTTATAGGATAACATAAGATCAAATTATAACCAAATAATATCATATAACAACTTTTTTTTGGTGATAATATCATATAACAACTTTAATGCTAAAATCATAATATCATATAACAACTTTAACGCTAAAATTAGGTGTGAAGAAAGCATACAAGACTAAAAGTAGATGTAATGATGGCTTTATATTAATACTTTAATTCATACAGTCACTAACAACCTCCATGAGGTGTGATAACAAGTCTATGGTAACTTATTGACAAGTACAACAAAATAAAACTATGACATTATATCATATTAGTTCCACATTTCATTAACCACTTTATATATATCTACAATACAACTAGACCAATTTCACAACCCATCCAAAGAAAACATACAGATTGCATGTCTACCTAAGAACCCCTTAACTTGAGGTGTGTGTAATGACATTTATATAAAAATATTGTGACATACATTCACAAAAAATATAAAGAAGCCACCAACAAAGCTCAACTTGGATTGGTGTTCATGTAAGTTTTTATAGTGTGGACTAGCTCATGACATCTTCCCCAATGGTAAAGCTTTTTGTTTTGAAATTGATATTCAACACCCCTATATAGAGGTAATAGAATAGATGCTTCTTACTTGAACTTACTATCCTTCATATCAACCTGTCACAGATACTTGTCATTGATAAGTCATCCAGTTACAATGACAACCCTTGATGGTTTTATTAACAACACATTTGACCATTGTATAACAGAGGTTATGACAGCAAAAACTTTTCATATTCTTTCATTTTCAGCAGAAACAGACCATAAATTTCTGAAAAACAAAGCATTGTTTTATAACCCTAGCTACAGATCATGAAACTACACCTACTATGATTAAGACCACATATGATTAAAATGACCCACCCTTGATG